TCTCGAGTTCAAACCACTGGCAGATAAATCTCGATCCCCTTCAACAGTAAATAATTAAGTACGAAGAAGAAGAAGAAGATTAAAAGAGATGAAAAATTACTTTTCGAAAACTTCTTCTAAAAAATATATAAGAAAAAAAAAACCTCAAACCACCCAATGTGGAACAATCATGAATATTTACCGGATATCTAAACACTAGCGCCATTTCGCGTTGACTAACAAAAGCTCAATTAGGTAAGGGACGCTTTTGTCTAACATTTTTATGTAGGAGTGTGTTTAAAAATGATTTTTATGAAAATAAAATTTAGGCTTGAATGGCGAAACATACAGAAGAATAATATTCAATTACAACTTCTATTACTTGAGGAGTTTGAATCCAGGATTCATGTGTTACAACTTTAAAATTACAAATGCAGTACTTTAAAAATCGTGCTTGATTATAATTTATCTTTTTAAAATCGTAACTAGACCTAGATCTATATGAAAATGACAAATGTGATTCAGATAACATCTCTCCATACTTTTTTAAAAATAGGCCTACTGACAGTGGCGTAGGCAGGGGGGGGGGGGGGTTAGGGGGGGTCATACCCCCCCCATAGACCCCTCGGTATATAGAAAAAGTATGAGGGGGGGGGGGGTGCAAATCGAAAGTTTGAGGGGGGGGGGGGTGCAAATTGAAAGTTTGAGGGGAGGGGGTGCAAATCGAAAGTTTGTCCCCGGGTAAAAATTGTACCCCCCCCCTTGAGACGATCCTGGCTACGCCACTGCCTACTGATGTACACATATGTGAGTTATAGTGCTGCTTGTCTAGATCCAATGGAAGACACAATATGATTATAAAAATAGATATATAACTTTATCTATTTTAGTATGTTTGATCAGCCTACTATACATTTGCAGATCTAAGAATCCTAGACTAGTTTTTTTCAAGGAGGCCGCCGTTGCCATGCCAACCATATTTTCAGAAGAGTCCCTGATGCACGCAAATATTTCCCCTTACGTTCCTTAAATATGTCTAGAGTGTTTTCTGTTACAAAAACTAGCCAGCTGACTCAATTATTGTTATTAAAAGAAGGATCAATGGTTAAATAGCCAATATATATATGTTAGCTTATGAAATTTTGAACTCCACAAATTGTTAGGTTTTTTTCAAGATGGCCGCCGTTGCCATGGTAACCATATTTTCAAAAAAGTCACTGATGCTTGCAAACATTTTCCTTTTAAGTATTCTAACTTAGATATACACAAATAAATCAATAAAACGTTGTAATAAGGAAGTTTTTTTTTCTGGTTCCTACCCCCTTAAGATTGTTTCACAATAAAATAAACCGGTAGTGATCTCCCCTAAACTTTCTCGAATATTCTTATATAAAACAACAGGGGATGGTAACTGGGGATATAGCTATGATTTTTAATCCATTTTAAATACTTAAACTTTTAAAAATAGAATAGAATCTCATAAAAAAAACATTGCGCACCAAGCAAACGCCGAATAAAAACGCGTATAATAGCGCGCAATATTATTAGTACTTTAAAAATTTACATTAGTTTTTTGAGAAATCGGAAGTAGCGTAAATTACTACTTCCAGTCAACGGAAATTACTCAAAATTTAACAGAAGGTAGAGAATTAGATCTTTTACTTACATGTGAAATTTCATTTATCTATCTGAAATAGTACTCAAGTTATAGGCTTTTGAAAAATTCAAAGTAGGAAAAGTACCACTTCCGGCTGTCGGAAATCGCTCAAAAGTTGATACGGATCTACGATTTTGATATAATACTTATATATGAAATTTCATCAACCTAGCTGTAACGGTACTCAAGTTATCGTTTTTACACACGGACAGACACACACACAGACACACACACACACAGACATACGGACAAGATTGCAAAATTATGTTTTTCCGTATCAGTGAGGCGTAAAACGTCGAGAACTGTAAAAAGCTCGATTTTTTTTTTGCACGATTACAATACTTTCTCTATACTTCGTATATACGAGAAAGTAAAAATGAAATGTTTCCTACTTCAATTTTTAAAAAAAAATTCATAAAAAACGTTTTAATAACAAGCTTTTATGTAATGATGCACTAAAAAGTAGAAAATAAATTATAGACTACTATTTAAATAACTATAAAGAAAAGCGTAGGTCACTTTAGTATCTATTGGATACCTTTACTAATGTTAAGGAAGACACCCACGCTTTTCTTTATAGTTATTTAAATAGTAGTCTATAATTTATTTTCTACTTTTTAGTGCATCATTACATAAAAGCTTGTTATTAAAACGTTTTTTATGAATTTTTTTTTCAGTACTTTACATGTTTTATTTACAATAGAGTTACATGACTAAAAACCATTGCGCGCCTACTGAACATCACGTTCAGTAGGCGCGCAATGGTTTTTGAACGCAGCCATTACGTGATGGCGCAGCTATTGAAGGTGATGACGCGTGTGGTGTGGTTGGCTAGACATGCCTACTAATTCGGTCCAAATTTTAATTAATTCATAAAAAATTAATTAGGCATCCAATTAAGTCAAATTTAGTTTCAGATTTGCATTGTCTTCATGTCTTGACCCACGTGCCAACTGTGAATCGTATCGGTCAAGTAGAACTGTCCGAATTTTCACTCCTGTGTTTCCGTCTAGACAGACAGACAGACAGAGGAAGTGAGTTAAATAAAAGCTTGTAAAAAAAATTCATAAAAAACGTTTTAATAACAAGCTTTTATGTAACGATGCACTAAAAAGTAGAAAATAAATTATAGACTACAATTTAAATAACTATAAAGAAAAGCGTGGGTCACTTTAGTATCTATTGGATACCTTTACTAATGTTAAGGAAGACACCCACGCTTTTCTTTATAGTTATTTAAATAGTAGTCTATAATTTATTTTCTACTTTTTAGTGCATCGTTACATAAAAGCTTGTTATTAAAACGTTTTTTATGAATTTTTTTTTCAGTAGGCCTACTTTACATGTTTTATTTACAATAGAGTTACATGACTAAAAACCATTGCGCGCCTACTGAACATCACGTTCAGTAGGCGCGCAATGGTTTTTGAACGCAGCCATTACGTGATGGCGCAGCTATTGAAGGTGATGACGCGTGTGGTGTGGTTGGCTAGACATGCCTACTAATTCGGTCCAAATTTTTATTAATTCATAAAAAATTAATTAGGCATCCAATTAAGTCAAATTTAGTTTCAGATTGCATTGTCTTCATGTCTTGACCCACGTGCCAACTGTGAATCGTATCGGTCAAGTAGAACTGTCCGAATTTTCACTCCTGCGTTTAGGTCTAGACAGACTGACGACTGACGAGGAAGTGAGTTAAATAAAAGCTTGTAATAATAAATTATAGACTACTATTTAAATTACTATAAATAAAAGCGTGGGTCTCTTCTCAAATATTAGTAAAGGTATCCAATAGGTACTAAAGTACTAAAGTGACCCACGCTTTTCTTTATAGTAATTTAAATAGTAGTGTATAATTTATTTTATACTTTTTAGTGCATCATTACATAAAAGCTTGTTATTAAAACGTTTTTTATGAATTTTGTTTTCAGTACTTTACATGTTTTATTTACAATAGAGTTACATGACTAAAAACCATTGCGCGCCTACTGAACATCACGTTCAGTAGGCGCGCAATGGTTTTTGAACGCAGCCATTACGTGATGGCGCAGCTATTGAAGGTGATGACGCGTGTGGTGTGGTTGGCTAGACATGCCTACTAATTCGGTCCAAATTTTAATTAATTCATAAAAAATCAATTAGGCATCCAATTAAGTCAAATTTAGTTTCAGATTGCATTGTCTTCATGTCTTGACCCACGTGCCAACTGTGAATCGTATCGGTCAAGTAGAACTGTCCGAATTTTCACTCCTGCGTTTCCGTCTAGACAGACAGACAGACTGTCGAGAAAGTGAGTTAAATAAAAGCTTGTAAAAAAAATTCATAAAAAACGTTTTAATAACAAGCTTTTATGTAATGATGCACTAAAAAGTAGAAAATAAATTATAGACTACTATTTAAATAACTATAAAGAAAAGCGTGGGTCACTTTAGTATCTATTGGATACCTTTACTAATGTTAAGGAAGACACCCACGCTTTTCTTTATAGTTATTTAAATAGTAGTCTATAATTTATTTTCTACTTTTTAGTGCATCATTACATAAAAGCTTGTTATTAAAACGTTTTTTATGAATTTTTTTTTCAGTACTTTACATGTTTTATCTACAATAGAGTTACATGACTAAAAACCATTGCGCGCCTTCTGAATATCACGTTCAGTAGGCGCGCAATGGTTTTTGAACACAGCCATTACGTGGTCGTGATGGCGCAGCTATTGATGACGCGTGTGGTGTGGTTGGCTAGACATGCCTACTAATTCGGTCCAAATTTTAATTAATTCATAAAAAATCAATTAGGCATCCAATTAAGTCAAATTTAGTTTCAGATTGCATTGTCTTCATGTCTTGACCCACGTGCCAACTGTGAATCGTGTCGGTCAAGTAGAACTGTCCGAATTTTCACTCCTGCGTTTCCGTCTAGACAGACTGACGACAGACTGACGACAGACTGACGACAGACTGACGAGGAAGTGAGTTAAATAAAAGCTTGTAAAAATCACATTTGTTCGTAGACTGTACAAGATGCAACACATACATTTGAAAAAAAAAAAAAAGAAATGGAAAATCTGAAATAGTCTACCGCCCCCCCCCTCCCCCGAACGACAAGAAATTTATATGGAAAATATATACTTTTAACAGTGTCCGCCCCCCCCCCCCCACGGAAGAAAGTCTACCGCCCCCACCCTGAAACCCGAAAATTTCAAGTGCCCCCCCCCCGCCCCGGAGAAAAAAAGTCTGGAAGATACACTGTTAGAGTGTGGTCCGTGCCGCAGGCAAGCGTGAAGGTTAAATTAGTTTGTAAATGTTAACCCAGTCTTGACACAATTTCTGTTCAGTTTACACGGCTTCGTGATCACGATGGGTCATATTTCACCGAGAACTCGGGGAAGTGCGCTAACCGTGTATTGCAACATTGGAGCGGGTGACTTATCTCCCCGTACTGTGACAGCACACGAAACCAGCCAGGATTGTGTTCAGGGATTTATTTTGATTGAGTGTGCTGTTATTTTTTTTTAACTGAGTTTTGTTGTGTTCAATCTGGTATGTAAAATTTCAAACATAAATTTCATGTAATTAAAATCTGTTGAAGTAGTTGTTTAATAACAATGTTATATAACTATTATCCGGGCTTAGTCTAATCAAAATTTTTTTTACACCGGTACTCAAATACTGCAAAAATATATTACCCTATTAATATATAGTTAGAATAAGTATGCTCTTTATAAAAAATTTATGAGTGAGCCACGTTTTTCTTCACAGTTGTGTAAATAGAGGTGCGTTATTAATTATTGGGCGTTTATTTAAAATAATTATTCTCTTATTTTAGTCAATAAATAAAAGCTTTTTATTATCAAGTTTAAAAAAAATATTTTGCTAAAGTTATTTTGTCAAAGTGTTTCTTACGTTTTTTTTTTTTTTTTTAGAAAAAATGCTAAAATTAAGATGCAATTTTTTTTCAATTGTCAACACCGTGTTTAAGTAATATAGTAAAGATTATAGCTCGAAACTTTCTTTTTGAAATCAGTACTTTAATCACGTTACATCAATGTCAGTGCCTTAAATTCAGTTACATTTAGGCAGGCATATAATTCATCATCATTCCTGTGGACCGCTATATGGAGCATAGGGTCGCGACCAAACCTCTTATCGTACTCGATTTTGAGCTATTCTTCAAGTTGGCCCATGACATTACGCCTGCTTCTGCTTCATTGACAACTGATCTTTTTTAAAATAATAGTCTTACAGGTTTATAGAGAAGTAGGGAAGGACAGTATGGAGCATAGATTTGAAGGTGGGTACGGGAGTGAGTATTTGGTGAAGGAGTTGTTTGATTCTTTTGGTGAAGCCTAACTTATAATTAATGTATTGTTTTATTCTGTTAGTTGTAACATATTTATTGTGATTCTGTTAGTTTAGTCTAACATACCACATATTTATTGTGATTCGGTTAGTTTAGTCTAACATACCACATATTTATTGTGATTCTGTTAGTTTAGTCTAACATACCACATATTTATTGTGATTCTGTTAGTTTAGCCCAGGGGTCTCCAAACTACGGCCCGCGGGCCGGATGCGGCCCGCGAAGTCCTCTCATCCGGCCCGCGGAGATCTTTTTGTCCACGGACAAACCGTTTGTTGGGGATGGCTGAGGAACTTCGCCCAGAAAAACCAAAGACATGCCTGGAAGAAACTGGCCCCCGAAGTGAAATTTGATCGTTAATGCGGCCCTCGGACTAAAAAGTTTGGAGACCCCTGGTTTAGCCTAACAAACCACACATGTATTGTGTTTCTGTTAGTTTAGTGTAACATATCAGCAAACAATCAACCTACAACCTCACATCATGATTAATCTCAACGCATTTTTTGTTATGTTTCATTTAATCTATTTAGAAAACTACAGCTTCACTCGTCCTATTTTCCAATAATTTATTTTCCTTACAATCCTTACCCCACACTCTTTCTCCTCGTATTTCCATATCCCCAATACCAGGTACCCACGAAGTGGATATTCAACATGAGGGCAACATCACGTCCATGAAACAAATCGTGTGTACCAAAAAGTGCCACAACCTCTTCGTCCCATTCACCACCTTCATGCTCCGCCACCTCCCCATTCCCTACCGCAGCAAAGCCATACTCGACGTCATCAACATCCTAGCCTATCTCTCCGTGAAACTTGAAGTCAGCTTCACCAGTTACGACAGGCCAGAGTTCTAACACAACACCAACCGACCGTATCCGTTTGGAACAGCCAAGGGCAGTAGCCAGGTACGCACCGGAAGTGGGAGAATCGGAATCACAATCAGGGAGAAACGTAAACCGAACCGCACTTGCCCTTGTAAAGCGTGTACGAATTCCGGCAACTCCGTTGAAGAATGGGGAATCATAAGGATCATCACTTCCGTCCACGTGGTCTATGACGCAACGGAAGCTCTACACACTACCTGCAGGTTTGGGTATGACTCACTTCACAGCGCCGCCATATTTCTCGAAGTCATCGGCATGGAGAGAGCGGACGTCAACGACGACCGGTGTCACGTGACATGCGTCACGCACGACATGCGGTTCATCAGTGACGTGAACAGAGAGTGGATCCGGTACCCCGCGGCGCACCGTAAAGTGAACGAATTCTTCGACAGTCCCAAGCACCGGCTGGTGGTCATTGTGTCGCACCCCCACGGGCTATTCAAGCACGTTTCCGTCGGGGAGTGGATCTCTAAGGACCATGTCTCCGACTCGCCGGTCGGGCACACCCAAAGCAGGTACACCTACACGACCCCCACCTGCCCGGGGTCGAGCGGCGCCACCATCTACGCCATGGGGCGGAAGTGGGGGTTTTGGTTCAACCAAACTCACTGTGGTTATAACGGGGTGGAGAACTTCAGCGGCAGTGCGTGTGACTAGGGTGGATGTAACAATGGTTACACCAATTACATGACAATTAATAATGTTACTGTAACATTTTTGACAACTTCAGCGGCAGTGCGTGTGACTAGGGTGGATGTAACAATGCTTACATCAATTACATGACAATTAACAAATGTTACTGTAACATTTTTGACAACTTCAGCGGCAGTGGGTGTAACTAGGGTGGATGTAACAATGCTTACATCAGTTACATGCGAATTAACAAATGTTACTGTAACATTTTTGACAACTTCAGCGGCAGTGGGTGTGACTAGTGTGGATGTAACAATGCTTACATCAGTTACATGACAATTAACAAATATTACTGTAACATTTTTGACAACTTCAGCGGCAGTGGGTGTGACTAGGGTGGATGTAACAATGGTTACATCAGTTACATGACAATTAACAAATATTACTGTAACATTTTTGACAACTTCAGCGGCAGTGCGTGTGACTAGGGTGGATGTAACAATGCTTACATCAATTACATGACAATTAACAAATGTTACTGTAACATTTTTGACAACTTCAGCGGCAGTGGGTGTGACTAGTGTGGATGTAACAATGCTTACATCAGTTACATGACAATTAACAAATATTACTGTAACATTTTTGACAACTTCAGCGGCAGTGGGTGTGACTAGGGTGGATGTAACAATGCTTACATCAATTACATGACAATTAACAAATGTTACTGTAACATTTTTGACAACTTCAGCGGCAGTGGGTGTGACTAGGGTGGATGTAACAATGGTTACATTAGTTACATGACAATTAACAAATATTACTGTAACATTTTTGACAACTTCAGCGGATGATGGAAGAGAATGAACAATGTTACTGTAACAACGTTGAAAATATCTTCGGCTGTTGTTGTAATTAGGGTGAATGTTACAGTTCCCAATAGACATTATACAATGCAACTGTAACGATCTTAACAACTCCGATTGCTGTGGTTGTGATTAGGATGGATGTAACATTGCCAAATAGACCATTAACAATGTTACTGTAACAATGTGGCTGTGGGTTTGACTAGGGTGGATGTGCTATTGCCAAATGAACCATCAACAGTGTTTAAAACTTTTTGTGTTCTTCAGTCAACTTAAGTTAAAATGCAGTTATCAGTTAACAATGACGCTTTAAAAATCTCACATTCGCAATGAA